TCCATCCAGTTTCCACTGATTGAGAAATGGTGATGAGTCGTATCCAAGGGGATCGATTTCCTTTCTCTCCTGTGTGACTTTGAATTCCAGACTTTCTGAATCTTCTCTGAAATTAATTCACTTAGTCGGATATCCCTATCGATCCCCCTTACCAGATTCTGTATCATCGGTGACCAAATAAAAGAGATCATTTCAATCTCAGATCCGATTATTGAAGAGCCTTTCCATAACCTCTTTCTGAACCGAATCCTCACCCAATCCTTCCAAATAACCAAAATAATGATCCGAAATATCCACCGAATGATTCCATAATTTTCTTTGATCATTTTACTGTTCAAACCACCTCATCGTCATCGCCGTTGTAGGGTTTTCGAGAGAGAGCTAAATTTTTATCTAGTTACTGATATAATTTTTCATTTGGTTGTTTGGAAATCTAATAGTAGTTTGAATTCATTTGTCTTTTTATTCTCTATTGTTGAGTATATTTGTTTGTTAGATTTCCTTGCATTTTAATGTTTGAAAATATGATTATGAAAACAATATAAAAGAGAGTAAATAAAAACATATTAGTATCCAAATAATTTAGTTTAAATAGTTTTGAGATCTTTTGATTATTGTTCTATGTATTTTAGTCGTAGTTTTTTTAGGTACCTTATGAACTTATTCGATTTTGATCACAATTTTATGTTTTTATACATCACAAATACCATTATTTTATTAGACATTCCATTGATGAATTTTACTTTTTCGTTAGTTTTGACTAAATATCGGTTTTATGAAATTTGAAAAACGGTATTGATAATAATATGAAGTATTAAATCATGATAATTTAGACCGATATGATTTAAGTTATTTTTTATTTAATACTTATTTATAAAAACATTAGTATATATTTACCTGATGACTCCATGAGTTTTTAGTTAGAACGAAGAAGAAGGAATAGATTAGATAATTTTAAAAGTTGTGAGAGAATTAGAGAAAAGTGGCTGATATTTATAGTAAATCATAAGAAATCGAAAACCCTATAAACATAAGAAATTGTAAACACTAACCTATCTATCATAATAATTAGCGACATTCCATTAGTTAGAGATGATTTTTTTTTTTAAAAGATATTCCATTAATAAGATATATAGGTTCTTGCTTTTTTTTTAACATTTTTGTTAGATATTTTTTTTAATTTTGATTTTTTTTTGTTTTGAAACGATAGTCCATGAATTTTTAAATAGATTCTATTTTTTGTTTCTTTTAACATTTTTCTTATATTTTCTCTAAATTTTGAAAACATAAGAAATAGTAAACACTAACCTAGATATCATAATTATCGAAAACACTAATATGAATCTAATTTTTAAAAATGGTGGATGGGTTTTATACACCATTCCATAAGAGATATAGATTCTATTTTTTTTTTAAAAAAAAATTGTTAATTTTTTAAAAATATTTGGTTTTATACAATTTTAAAAACGGTTTAACTGACTACGGAATTAAGCATTAAACCACAGTAATTTAGACCAGTTTGTTTTAAGTTATTTTAACACATTATCAGATAAGAACTTAAAAAAATAACATGTAATAAAAAAATAAAGTTAAAATATCTTTTTGCAGCCGAAACTCATTCTGGAGTTGACACGTAAGCTAAAACGTTCTGAAACTCGCTGTGGACCAGACACCTAAGCAAATCACTATACAAACAAGTATATAGATTATGGTTGGAATTAAATTCTATTAAAACCCACTATTGAATAACACCCACTTATAGATGCTTGATTGTCAGAATAGAATGCAAACGCCTGTACAATTCTGATAGATTCGAGCAACGATTTCACCCATTTGAGTTACGGCCATGGCTCCATACTCTTTGTCAGAGGAAGAACGCGAGAAATAGATTGTTTCTTAGTTTCGTTGACACAATTCATCTCCAAGCATAACAATATATATCCTATTAAAAATTGCCAATTTAGTGGACAAGATCAGGCCCAATTTGAGTCACAATATTCTGGAAAAAAAAAGATCATTGGTAGAACTTGGTAGAATACTTTGTCTAAAGGGAGCCTTGGAGATATAAAACTACTTTTAATGCTCCTTTCCAATGTCACGTACGAGGTTATTTCATAAATTGAGCTAAAATTATGAAACACATAGTTTCGACCGAGTAATCACTAAATACACGCCAATTTGCCAACAAGTCTCCCATATTGTTATGAATTTGCAAAATACTTGCCTTTAATTTGTGCTAAACAGTGATTCTGTTCAATGAGTATTGTACCCACCAGTTTTGCTCCAAGCAATTCACTCTCCGAGATGATGTCTAATGCATACCTGCGTTGAATAAATAAATTCCAGCATTTTCACGAGAGACCTCAATGTCCAAAAATATTGGAGAAGATTGAGATCTTTCATGGGGAAACACTTACTCAAATAAACCTTAAAATTCGAGATGAGCTTCAAGGCATTCTCTCCAGTGACTAAATTATCCACACATATACCAAGACATAAACAATAAGAGTCGCCATTTATATATATCATATAGTTTAGTCTTTAGACATTTTCGTATATATCATATATATTATTTTAGATACACATGGCGTCTATGGTTTTTTTTAGATACAGCCCCTTAGAACCAAAATAAGTTTCATTCTGGACCTACGATCCAAACGACCTAAGTATATAGCACCGGATCTTGGATCCATTAGATCCAAAAGATCTGGTACGAAAGGCTACCTGTTCCCCAATTCCTTGTACCTGATAGTGTATACTACACTGTTACGGACCAGGACCACACTGTTAGAGACAAGGAGATCAAGAACTGAATAGTTATGAGGAGGAAAGGTTACCCTTACTTATGTCCAGACTCAAGCCAAGCGATCTGGAAAAGTCAGGATCTAAGGAAAAGTAATCCACATATGTACCCAAAAGAAGGAAACAATCAGAGAGACAGTCCTGATAGCCCGGTCCTAATCTTAAAGGATCCGGGCTAGATATGAATATTTTTTAGATGGGAACACCATACAAATTTCCCTCTATTCAACAAATCAGAATATATGCTCATCATCCATACTCTTGGAAATCTATGAAATCAGTATATAATGCATTATGCTTACACGTGTCAGGTGATAATGACCACTCATAAAGCGCAGAAAAAGACTATAGTATGGCAAAGGCCATACAGTGCCAGAACCGCCAAACTTGAGCCGTACACTGAAAGCAAAAGAAAAACACCAAGAGTTGGCCTCCTGGCAGATAGAAGATGACAAGTAGGTGGAATAATCAATCGTCAATCCATAACCGATCCATCACTCCAATAATCCAAGATCCAATTCGGTATACTAACCTGGGTTATGTAAAATTCTATAATACTCGACTCTTTCCAACGAGAAAGAGATTCAGTCTTTTAGCTTCCTTTGGCTTATCATATCTTTCTAGATACTTGTGACTTAAAGGACCAACACTCTAGTTTCTGGTCATCATTCTGACCATCTTTCACTTATACTCCACGATGGTTACTAAACGGTGGAGTATTTTCACTACCAAATTTTTATACTTTTCTCTTCTCCAAAGAACCCACCAACAAAAGGCCCGTGTAGACTCATCCCTCTCTTAAAAGCTCACGGTCCAACTTTCCTTCATTCGTTTTTGATCTCTTTTTTTCTCTTTCCGATTAACCACTCTATTGTCTTTTTTTACTCTGTTTTCTGATTTGGACATCAGAAAACCATCAGAAAACAATCTTCCATTAATTTTTCCGGGCTTTCACGTTCTTTACTTGTTTTATAGGAGATTTGCATTTGAAGAGGAACAAAAATCCTCTAAACAATTATAATATAAATTATTTACAGAAATGAACAAACAAATCAAGATAAGAGCAACATAGCTGACACCATTTACACTTTTACACATTTTTTTTTTTGTTTTTTTGTCTCTTTCCTTTGTCTAGATGAAATGATTTATGTATTTAATTATTCTATTATTATATAGAATAACATTTTATTCTATACTTGAAGAAATAAAATCATAAAGTTATCCATAAAAAATGCAAATAGAACACTTAAGAAAAAGGAAAAATACGAATTTTATGACTTTGCATTTTTCATATTTTTTTCCTTTTTTAGTAACAGAAGTTCATATTTCAATTGTGTGTTTTACATTATTAACAATAACGTTCAATTAGCTGTTTTTGACTGGCATAAAAAAAATTAGTTGTTTTGTCATCTATATTTATATATTAAATTGCTGTCAGCACACACAAAAATTGTTAAAATGACAATCTACGTTTAAAGAGTAAAAGTGGAATATTTCTTTCTTTCTTTTTTCTTACAAAGAATGGAATAATTCAAATATTCCATATATTAAAGTACACATCTTATTTTTCCATTTAGAAAATTTTCTTTATCATTCTCATTAACATTCTTTTTTTTCTTTAATTTGAAGATCACAGATTTAAGTTAATTGAGTTTGTTTTTGGTTGTGGTATTGAGATGATGCTAATAGTTGTTGCCCAAACAAAGATGATGGTAATGGTTTCATCATGTAATACGACGAAGCTGTGATATCAGACATACCTTTTTATTTATTTATTTATTATTATTATTATTATTATTTTCATAAAAATTTATTAAAAGTCTAACCGTTATATATATTATGGAGAAGTATGAGGACAGCGACGATTATAATCAGATGAAATACATGATTAAATAAAAAGATGAAAAAACGAATTAATTTCTAATTAGTAAAAAAGGAAAAAACGAATCACTTTCTAATTAGTAAAAAAGGAAAAAGCGAATCAATTTCTAATTAGTAATAAAATGAAAAAATATTTATAATTCTTAATTAGATGATTAGATGAGCGTTTCTTATCACGATGTTTTCTCCACATTCCTATCTGTTTCCGTCAAAAGACAAAATATTTTGCTCTAAAAACGGAAGTTAGAAGAAGAAAAAAAACGTTACAATTGTGTTAACATTTTTTTTTTCTCGATCGTCCATCTCTTTCACCAACTCAAAAAAAAACGTCTCTCTCTCTCTCTCCTCTTTCTCTCTCTCTCTTCCCCTCTCACCGTCGTGGAATGGCAACACAAGGGGTGGCTCAGCCATCGGCGAAGAAACGAAGCTTCCTCCTCCGTGATATCTTCAAACTTTGCCGTTCAATCTCAAGGGTTTTCCCTCGTGACAAACCTAATCATATTCACAAGGCTAATAAACACGAACGTAAGCTTCACACAGAATCCAAACGCCATGAAGAACACAGACTCAACGTCCCAAATGATCCAAACGCCTTCAATTTCCAGGTAATAATATTACAATTCAACAATTATAAACAATCCAGGTTTTCTATAGATGAATTGCTCAATATGTTTTGGGCCTTTTGGCCATTTAAGAAAAGAATTGCTCAATATGTTTTTAGAATGCGAGATTCAGAGGAGGTATGCGGAAGGGACTAATATTACATGCTTTGGTTCTGAGCTGAAGAGGTTCATGTGATTTGCTTATGGTAACGTTGTTTTTTTTTTTCACAGCAACCAAAGGCGGTGGCGAATAAGGTGGAAGGTGTGAGTCTTTGCAAGGTTCGTAGCTATAGATTCGACGACAACACGAATTTCGCTGGGAGCAAGAAGCCGATATCTCTTTCAAGAAGTTGCAGCCAGAACACGGCCAGGACGAATCCGAATCCGACAATGCGGAGATTATCGTTTGTAGGAAGGAGCAAAAGCATCAGCAACAGGACGGATTCAGCTGGATTTATGCCGACACTTATGAGATCGACGAGCACGGTGCCAAGGAGCTTAGCAAACCCAATCTTGTACTCGAGCTCATCCGCGAAAGTGGCTAAACCTCAACCAACAGAGAAGAAACTAAGATGCACGCTCGAGGAGCTATGTAACGGATGCACTAAGAAGATCAAGATCAAGAGAGATGTGATTACAACCTCAGGGTTTGTTTTTCTTTTTTAACAAAAGACTTAGTTTGTGTCTCACGAAAAGAAGACTAACTAAAGCGTTTTTTTGTTGTCGTTGTGTAGACAAATGAGCGAGGAGGAAGAGACGGTGGAGATAAAGGTGAAACCGGGATGGAAAGGAGGAACGAAAGTAACATTCGAAGGAAAAGGAAACGAAGCCATGGGGAGTGTACCAGCTGATTTGACATTTGTGATAGTCGAGGAAGAGCATAAGGTGTTTAGAAGAGAAGGAGATGACCTAGAAATGTCTGTTGAAGTCTCTCTTCTCGAAGCGTTGACGGGATTCGAGCTCACTGTTGATTTACCTGACGGTGACAACATGAGGTTGAAGATAGAGGACATTATCGACCCTGGATATGTTACAGTGGTTCAAGGCAAAGGTATGCCAAATCCAAAGGAGAAAGGGAAGAAGAGAGGAGATTTGAGAATTCGGTTTCGGACTAAGTTCCCACAGAAACTTACAGATGATCAAAGGGCAGAGATTCAGAGCATTCTTCAAGATTCTTCTTGATCGGTTTGCTAGTTGTCTTTCTTTCCCTTTTTAAGGGAGCTTTTACAACATGGTTAGATAAAAAGTTGAAAGAGACTCTTTATTGTCTTCTTTGTTTGTAAACAACCAAGTTGAAATGAAGAAACCGGGAAAAAACTCTAATCTTTTATTTATCGACTTCAAAACACCAAAACACATTTCTTTAACAAAACAAGTTCAATAAAAAAAAAAAAAACAAAGAAAGTAAAGATACAAGGGGATGTGTTGTCTTCTGTCTTTGCCTTTTAAGATAAACCTAAAAGGACTTTGAAAAATTCCACTATATTGCTGTTGACAAGTGCCTTTAACAATCTAAGCTTTCCTCTAGAGTATGGTGGATACCTTATTGCCGAATCACCAAAAAAGCTTTTGTAGAGAACAGCCTTCTTGTGACTAAAAGCATCAAATGAGAATTTACCATGGTAAGAACCCATTCCACTTTCACCAACTCCTCCAAATGGCAATGTGGGAAGTGCAAGCTGCAAATATACATGATTACAGTATGATGATTAGTATGCATGTAGTTAGCTTATACAGATAAGATAGAACTAGCTATTGTTTATTTACGTGAACTGCTATGTCATTGACCACTATGCCTCCAGCGGAAACTGTCATGGCGAATCTCTCTTTCAGCTTTTGGTTTTGGGTAAACAAATATGCAGCAAGTGGCTTAGGTCGAGAACGAATCACGTCAAAACACTCTTCCAAGTTATTGAGCTGTGCAGACCAAAAAAGATTGTTAGATTTTTCACACTTGAAATGAAGCAGTCTCTCAAAAGAATGAAAAAATGGTTCATACAGTGAGGATTGGGAGGAGAGGACCAAATATTTCTTCATTCATGATCTGAGAATCTAATGGCACATCGAGCAAGATAGTTGGAGCAATTTTCCTAAAAGGATGGAGACAAAAGATTAGCACAAGGGAGATGTTGTCATCATCAATAGAAAAGAGAGGAACTCACAGGCTTTCTCTGTTCTTTTGACCACCATAGACTATTCTCTCAGAAACTTCCTTCTCCTCTAACAACTTAGAAAGGCGATCAAAGTGATTTGAGTTTACAATACGTGACATATCTTTGGATTCCATAGGGTTCTTCCCGTAAAAACCCTCCAATTCATGCTTCAGGGCGTCAATCTTGAGAAGAGAAAAGACATATGGTCAAATACAAATAAGTGCATCAAGAATCTTATCTTAAGTTCTTAACCTTACCACTTTTGGAGCGTATTCTTTTGTTGTCAGGATGTAGTCTGGGGAAATACACGCCTGTCCATTGTTGCAACCCCATTTTCCTGAGATTATCCTTTTGACAGTAGCCTTAGTAGACAAAACAAAACCATAGTCTCAGTACAAATAAAATAATGTAGATGAATAAGTCATGGGATAAAAACTAGGAAAAGGAGTAATCTAGTACTTTCAAATTGGTATCTGGGTCTATAACAACAGGAGATTTTCCTCCAAGCTCCAGTACAACTGGTGTGAGATGCTTCGCAGCTGCCATCATTATGATACGCCCGATTCTTGAACTACCTAACCAAGCAAGAGTGGGAATTTTAGTACTAAAAGTGTGTTTCAAATTAGCATTGAAGGTTGAATCTGTGGCATCATCACTCAACAAACTTCTTAATGTTGGAGAAACTTGAAGCCAGAGTTTATATGAACCTGTGTAGAATATTTTGTCCCACTTTTGCTCTAGCAGCAGAGTTGTTTCAGTAACAGCACCTTCTACAACTCTCACGGCAGAAGTGTCTAGATACTGTTCCAATAACTTTGCAAGAAGAGAAGACGAAGCTGGAGCCAATTCTGATGGCTTTAAAACAACAGCATTCCCAGCAGAAATTGCACCAATAACAGGATCAATAGACAACACTTGCAGGAAAAACAAAAAGTAGTTAATCAGTGTCAAAACTCAATCGAAATGGATAATTTTAATCAATCAAGGAATGTTTAATCATACGGAAGGGATAATTCCAAGCCGAGATTACTAGCACAACTCCAAGAGGCTCGGAAACAATTTCAGCTGACGCAGGAAACGTCGTTAGAGAAGTCTTTGCCTGCAAATGGAAAACAGAGAGGTTTATTAATGTGTTTAACAACAAACTCTGCATATAAACCTCTATTCAAAACCACACCTTATCTGGCGCCATCCAGTTTTTCAGCTGCTTAAGAGCTAACTTGATTGAGTTTCTCAGTAGAGCTACCTGCATAATTAATTTACCATCATAATCAAAAATGTAAAATGTAATAAAAATTATTGGTCTAGTCAAATTTACTGCTAGTACACCTAAAGGATACTGATAAAAAGACCATTGCCTTTTATACTCTAATGTTTCAAAAAAAAATAAAGTTTCTACAAGACCAACTAACTAACACATGCCTAAGAATTGACAGGAATAGAAAGCTACAACACTCTCTGACGAATTTCTGTTGATAACATTAAATTGAGAAAGCTATGTGGTTGTTTATTGGATGTAACTAATGACACAAAGTTAAGAAATAAAATGGTTACAAAAAAAACGTGGAAGAGGAAAAAAATACAGGTGGGCGATACATTTAATGTCTAGCAAATACGAAATTAAATGTGTTTTGGTTACAAAGAGGACCCAGTATTTTTATAGTATTGGTTCCCACAAAGTTACATACATAAAGTTTACCTGCAGTCTAAGGTGATCCTATAATACAGGAAACAGGAAAAAAAATGTTGCATTCAATTCTCTATTTACGCATTGTGTTTGTACAAGTGTCGATTCAGAACATCATGGTCACACTACTAGGTGATGGACATAAATGACACCGACCAAAAAGTAGGAGAATATACTAATCACAATTTTATACAGACAAAAAAAATCACAATACTAGCCAGAATCTGATTCAGGCTCGCACCAATAGAGATAGTTGAAATCTATTATCTAACCAGTTCTATTTAGCCGGTGTCATGCACTAGGCTCATTAGAAAACTCGGTGAGTGAACTAATCCACAGTTACATTCATCCACCCTGAAGTTAGTGGGGGTGGTAAAAACTCGATCACCCCGGTAATGAAAAAACTCAAGAAAATTTAATTTCTAATATGAAATTCACGATTCGAAAACTAGAAAAATATGGTAAAGCACTATATAACATTTGATTATCAAGGACACAAGAATCATAAATCATAAATGTGGCAGCATTGATCTACTATACCATTGCCACTAGGTTGCAGGAATCTGATTTCATATGAATAATATCCAAAGTGGGAAGTTGACAAGAACATAAGTAATATGTAAGGAACATGGCCAGATAATTAAAATCTCTAATTTGAATTTCAATATCTGAAAACTAGGATTCAAATGATAAAGTAACACAAGAATCCATTTCAACACCACAAAGGCCAATGGAAATTCGAAGACTGATAAATGAGGAAAGCGAAAGTATAAAAGGGAGAAAAAGAAAAAGAGTTTGACCTCATAGACAGAAGACTCGAGCTCAGGTTTTCCGAGATCGTCGTGGAGAGCAGAGACGATCTCAGGCTCGTGGTTATCGCAGATTACGAGAAGCTTTTTAAGCTGAGTGACTCTCCACTCGTAACCGCAAGTTACTCCGGCATCAAAACTCCGTCTTAGCTCCGTCACCAAATTGCTCGCATCCGCCGCTTCGAAGACCTTCTTGGCCATTGTAGAATCCGCAGAAAACACCGTAGACGCTTACGTAATCAAACACGAGAGAGAGAAGAACAAATATTGAGTTCGGATCCCGAGAAAAAGCAGGAATTGATTTAGGTGAATCGATGGAAATGTAAATAAATATTGGTTTGTAGATTTACAGTACAACCTTGAGATATTTTTCTTTTATAAAAACATGCAATTTTCAATATTCAAAAAGTTATCTCGTATTTATAAAGACGGAGAGACGCCAAAAAAAGAAAAACAAAAAACAAAAAAAGGAAGATATAAAAAGAAGGGAAAGATATAAAAGTTTGTGCGTGTACGCATGATAGAATGAGAGATGGTAAGAAAGAAGAGAAAGGCGTGTGGGTCTTACTCGCGGAGCATAAGCTAACTCACAACTCACGTGTGATCGCGTTTGTTGCACGTGCAATATGAGCGCGAGTGGTTTTGTGTGTAACATTGTTGGTGAGAGAGGTTAGGATTCAGAAGTCATTTTTGGATTTGATTAGGCGAGACTCTCGCTAATGATTATTTATTCATATAGGTGGGTAATGTTGAGCTACTTGATTGATGGGTCAAGGTTTTTTCTTTTGGACAAATGTGGGGACAAATGTGGTTAATACAGAAAAATGAACGATAGAAAGTATTAAAAAAAGTTGAGAGAAATTATAATAATCAACCTTAACCAACTTTATAATATGAAATAGAGAAAGTTATAATAAAAAAAAACATTTTAGTTTATATCGGATCAGATCAGATCAAATGGAATAAATGAGGCAAATGTGATTAGTATGGAACAAAAAATAAAATGTATGAGATAGTTGATGGTGGTGTGTTGTGAGTGTCAAGTTTTACCCTAATTGAAATCAATAGCCGCAAGTGCACAGCTGATCGATTGTAGTACTTAGGGATCGAATCCACAGGGAAGGAGGATCTTTTCCTGCAAAAAGCCTTTGAAATAAGTTAAAGTAAGGAAGTCTAGAACAAAAACGGTTTAGTGGTGCTTTGGTAGTGTGTTTAAAATCTAAAAACAAAATATTAAAAGAGAATACGGAAATTAAATGACGTAATAACTAAACTTAATGAAAATGACTAAAAATGATAAAAACGGATATTCTAATGCTTAAATGAAAATGAACTAAAAAGGAAAGGCAATATTAAATTAAAGCTTTAAAGAAAAACGGCGTAAGAAAGAAAGCGTTGGGGTTCAGGGAAGTTTTCTCAGGGGTACGAACGATTCAAAACATTGCTAGAGAGGAAATTTTGTAAGATCTTAGCTTAAACTTTTCGAACTGGAGTCACGGACGTATGAATACGCCACAGTCGTGATCATAGACAACTATCTCTCTCAACCATGACCAGTAGGTTTCCACTCTGGCCCTGGAAGAGAAGAGATGCATTATGTTTAAGACTCGTCCTAATTCACAAATCGCCCATAGGTAGGTTTCCACTCCTATGTTTGTTTTGCTCTCCCAAACTAGATCTGATACCTGATGAACACTTTCGTGTCATCAAGCATCTGGATCAGATTGTAGTTCATGACGCTACTCTCATGCAGTAAAAACGAATTCAGAAGAAAAAGTTCTAAGATTCAGCTCAATAGCCAATGGAATCCTCACCGAACATATATATCCCCATCGAAAATCCCTTAATCCCAACAATAACACTACTATAATGAACGAAATCAAAGACATAATATTAAGAAGTAGAATAGAAACCGAAATTGATAAAGAAAGAACAAGGGTTCAAGAGAACAAATCTCTCTCTCCCTAAAAGCTAAAGCAAAAACAATAAGAATATAAAGTAAATATTTCGGTGGTCTAAGGTTTCTAGGGCTCCTAAGACATGTATTTATAGTGCTCAAGACCTCTCTGGACGTCACTTAGGGTTTCTCCAAATGTGGGCTTCAGAAATGGGCTTTTTGGGCTCGGAGGTTGAAGCCGCGGTCGGGACAAGTGTGACCGCGGTGGATGAGTGGTTTGCCGCGGTCGGGATGCTCCTGACCGCGGGAAATTGCTTGTTGGCCGCGGGTGGAAGTGCTTGTCGGCTGGTTTACGGGACATCTTGCTCTTCGCATATCTTTTGATTGAACCGTTGGATTGCCAAGCTGTAAAGTGCACTGGAAAGCTGATACTTCCATCTTTAAGGTCTCCAAATTTGAGCTGGATCAGACGGTGAGAAGGCCTTCAATCTGGGGTGAACTTCTGACGGTTTGACTCTGAGTTGAAATCTGGTTTTCTATCCATTTTGTTAAGCTTTTCCCTAAGTTTCCTGAAAAGAGTCTTGAAACTACAAATACTAGAAAAACGTAATAAAAGTACTTAAAAGCAATTAAAAACATAGAAAAAGTATTTCAAAATACGGTGTTATCAACTCCCCCAGACTTAAACCTTTGTTTGTCCTCAAACAAAGCAAAAGCCTAAACTGGTTAAGTGAAAACAAAAATAGGAAATGCACAAATCTCATAGACATGAACTCTAAACTAGGGCCAAAGATAGTGCATCAATCCACAACTTAGTCTAGAAAATTCTCACCAAAGCACAAGAGATACTAGTCCACTTTTTCCGTCATGCAAAACTTAAACAATTTAAATCTTGATTTCAGTCAACTAGCTCTCTACATTCATTAAGTTCAAAAGTGAGTTCTCATTAAAGACATCATTCAGGGTAGACGGCGTTTGGCATTAAAGGGCTATTTAAGTGGTGGAGTTAAAGTGTTTCGGGTTACCTGAAGATCTGGAGGATGCAAGATAATATGCAAAACCGCAAGAGAGATAAGGACCTGTTGATGACCACAGTTTTCAATCACTTCTTCTTGCCAAATGTTGTTGCATAATCCTTCCTCTTCTGTTGTAAACAGCTGTTCCCCCAGACTTAGATTCTTTCCGGGAATCAGAAAACAATCTCCAAAACTCCATAAAATCGAACTCCAATTGCCTTGGGACTTAAAATTCGACCTCTCTAGACTCTCTAAGGCTTTTATTTCCTTTCTTTTCTTATTTTCGGATTTTTTTTTTTTTTTTTATATATAATTTTTAGGAAAGGAAATGCCTTTTAAAGAGAGAGAGAGACTAGAGGACGATATTGTACCAAAGTTTGAGATTTTTCTAAGGCGAACTGAGTTTCTCTTGTATTGAATCCTTCCAGGAACTTTTCCGGCAAATCGCAGGTCTCTGTCCTTGGTGACTGAAAACTGCGTCGTTCCTCTTTCTCTCCAACGTATTTGCACTTATCTGCATATAAGACAATAGAAAACAAGAGTGCATGTGGTTTGAAAGAGGATTGGTTAAGGTGGGGAACTAGCTAAAAATGAACTAGCCATTCTGGATCAACAGAGAGTGGTAAAAAGATAAAGGAGTCCTGAATGTATGATTCGTTTCCCTGGTCTAATGCTTCAATGAGAAAATTAAGTCCAAATTAAGTCCAAATAAAACAGAGCTAGTGTATCCCTTCATCTAAATCGAAATCATTCAAATTCCTCTAGGGTACTTCGTTTCAAATGTGCTTAGTTACCACCTAGTCTAGTCCTAAATCATGAATGAGCATGTCACTAGGAACAGTCTATAGCACACAGTCAACTATCATTGATTCATGTTCACCATTCCCTTTTAAACGTATTTTGTTTTGAAAACCGATTTTGAAAAACTTTAAAGAAAATGCAAAAAGTATAGATAATGCAAGACTCATGAAAGAAAAGTGGTTAGAAAGGGATGAAATCCTCCCCCAGACTTAAATCACACTGTCCTCAGTGTGAAACAAGTCGAGATTGGATGAGAAAAATGCATAAATAATCGAATTGGTAAGGACAAAGAGAACTTACCTGGATCCGGGATGCTGGTGGAGATGAACCGGATTCATTCGAAGGGGTTTGGGAAGGTGATTAGGTGGTGATGAAGGTGGTGGAGGGTGATGAATGAGGTGGACTGGGGATTGGTGAGGTGAAACGAGGTGAAAGGGGTGGTTTGGGGTCGGGTTTGATGTCAACGACCAAGTGCCGTGGTCAGGGGCTGCACGACCGCGGCAATCAAGCACTTGGCCGCGGTCAAGACTACGCGACCGCGGCGGACGGTAGGTTTCCCGCAGTCTGAACACTTGCGACCGCGGGGGCTTATATCGCGGCCTCTTCCTGCTTCTCCTTGGTTCCTGCTGGGCCGAGCAGTCAGGTACCATCCTTCTTTTTGGTTTTTTCGGGTTTTTTTTTGATTTTTTTGGCTTTTTTGTTTTATAAGAAACACCTGAAACTAAGAAAAAAGAAAAAGATCAAAAGAAAAAGAAAGAAAAGTCCTAAAGAAAACAATACCTAAATGGGTTGCCTCCCATTAAGCGCTTCTGTTTTAAGTCGTTTAGCTCGACTTTTGGTGTTGGACCTGACTTATTCCAATGAAGAAGACCTTGTCCTGAGACAAGTCTTTTTCGACATCTCCTTGCTTTGCTTAGCAGGTTCTTCGTCACTCCAAAGTTCTTCTTCAAACTCTTCTGTTGCAGAACGTTTTCCTGCTTTGCTGTTGTATGGAACAGCTTCTGTGAAGACATCTTTGTTGATATTAGCAAATGAAATACTCCGGTTTGGCCAGTCCATTATAGCTCCGGAAGTTGCTAGAAAAGACCATCCGAGAATCAATGGATATGTTGCATCTCTCGTTTCAACAATGTAGAAGTCGACAAGCACTATGCAATCCCCTATTCTCAAAGGAATTTCATGAGCTATTCCTTGAGGTGTTGCATTTGAATCATCAGCTAGACTAATTTTTGCTCTAGTCCTGCGCAGGTGTTTGATACCAAGTCTCAAAGCAATTGCCTTGGACATCATGTTAAGACAAGCTCCAGAATCACATAGCACGTTTTTAAATATCTCTCCTCTAATAGAACAAGAGATAAGAAACTGACCTATACCTTCTATTTTATGAAGTGTTCGAATAGGTTTACCTCTTCTGGCATGATTGAACAAGTCTTCTATCTCAAGGATTGATTATTTGCTCTCACAGAAGTAGTGGCCTATCATGAAGTCCTTGCAAGCTTTGGCAAACGTGATTCCTTCAGGTAAATTTCGAACCACATCATTGAATTCATCGAGCTTTTCTTTGCTGATTTTGTTGGTGTAGTGGCTGCAGTCTTCTGGATTTTTGAGGTGAATCGCATAGACAGCTGCTTCTGGTGTTGTCATGTATCGAGCTCTCATAAAATATCTATGGATATCCTCTTTAGACTCCTTGCAGTACCTGAAAAAG